TAAAATTATAATTATAACATATAAATAAAATATATAATATCAAGGAGATGGAGGCAGCAACGCAGAAGCCTCTAGAGAGAGTGGTTTCACAGAGAGCTTTGCAAATGGGTATTTTATTTTCATGCCAAATTTGTATGGTGGGTTTTACCTGTGGAGTTTGCCTCACGTCTCTGTTTCTGGCTGCTCTTGCTTCTCTGGGCAGTTTTGGGTTTGGTGGGATTTCATATTCTTCCATTTCTATGGGGCTTACTTCTTGGAATGCAAGTTCGGAGAGGATGAGTAAGTAAAACCACTTCTTTCTTTCAATTTGGTCCTAAAATTTTGTGTGCTTGTTTTCAGTTTAGAAACTGTATAGGCTGAAATTTTAAAATTTTGACTCAAATAAATATATAATTGATTCTTTTTTTTTCCTTTCTTTTCCTAGATTACAATCAGAATGTTGAGTCGTTACATGAAAGAACTACTGGGATTTGGTCAAAATTTGGCGGAGAATGAAGAATGGAATGATGAAAATGATCAAAGGGTATATTTGAAGCAAACTAAAAGTTCCAATGACTTTTGATTTTTTGTAATTAGATCAGTAATTAGCTTCCCAAAACATGCTTCAATTCGAAGCTAGTCCTCCCTTTTAGACTTGTAAATTGTAAGCAAGCAAGTAGGAAGTTTCTAGGATCTTTTGCTTAGAACTCACAACACTAAGAGTGGATTCTTTCTCTGCATTGATTTCTTGATTTAATCATTGTATTCTGCTTTGGTTTAATACTTGGAATCATTTTCTTCTAGCAAATTGTAGATGTTGTTACGAGTACGGACTGCAAACTTAGACTAAAAGAGAGTGAAAGATGGGTGGATTGTCAGTGAAGTAAGACAGATACTGATGATGAGAGAGTTTCATCACTGTTTTCAGCATGGGGTGCTTTACTAACTCAGTCAGTAGATGGGGAAAACAAGTTATTTCAAAGGCTTAGAGTAAGGAAGTCCAGTGTTCCAAATGCCCCTCATCTGGAGAATTGCAGATTGAGCGCATAAGTAAATAGGCGTCTTGACAAACGGGCCGGAAATGAGAGCTTCCCTTCATGGACTAGTTGGAAGGGATTTTTAATGTTTATCCAGCATCTGTAGCTAATGAGCAAATTGGGTGGTACCTTACGCATCAAGCCATATCTGAAGGTGCTTATCCTCCATGGGTATGTTTTCAAGTCACAATCCAATAACAAGCAATTTCCTTTGAATTTTTAACTTGAACCTGGGACAGGGCCCAATGCACCAGCTGCTTATGCATTTACGACTCCTGTATCTGCATTACTGCAGCTTGCATTTACAGATTTAACTAACATTCCTAATCATTTATATAAACCTGAGCAGCAAGTTTGCTCGTATTTAGAAACCCATCAGTTCTCTTCAACTTAACCTACTTATTTATATTCTAAAGGCTAACTCAAGTTACTAGTTACTACCCTTGTGTTTGTTTCATTCAATATTACGCTGTTGGTTTTGTATAGGCATCCTATGATACATTTCATGTTTCTTGAATGTTTTTGGAGAAAACAGGATCTCTTGCAGATTTCCGGATCAGATGAAGAAAACTATCCTCTTAATAGGAAAGTGCGGCGTGACATATGGATTCATCGGCATCCAATAAATTGCCATGATCCTAATGTAAAATTTCTTGTGGCTGACTGGGAAAGGTTGCCTGGCTTCGGTATTGGAGCCCAGATTGCTGAAATGGCAGTGCTTCTCGCTATTGCAATCAATGAAAAATGGTTGCCATTGTGATTTATCAATAAGGAAATAAGAGGGAACTCAAAATAAGACAGCAGAGAATAAGCAACTAATTTTCCCTCTCACCACAGCTCTCTCCATCCTTCAACGTTTTATTGTTCTATCATTGAATTGATAATTTGATAGCACACTAGAAGCAAACAAACTTGTTGATGTTATTTTGGACTGGCAAGATTTCTTATTTCCTCAAAGAAAACAAGCTCACTTGTTATAACAGGGACCATTGGCTATGTTGCACCAGGTAATATTAGTTTTACCTTTGAATTTGTGTTGCGAAAGTTATAGTTTAGCATCTAGGTACTGACAAACATGATGAATTGATCTCATGTTTCCTTGCTTTCACTGCTTATCATTTCATTCAGAATATGGGATGGCCAGAAAGGCATCTATGGCAGGTGACATGTTCAGTTCTGGAATTCTCTTGTTGGAGATGATTACAAGGAGGCGGCCAACTGATGAAATATTCGAAGATGGCCTGAACCTCAACCAATTTGCCAAACTAGTATTGCCAGAACGCGTGATGGATATTGTTGATGCTTCATTGCTGCAGGAAGTTCAAAATATAGACGAAAATGTTGGGAACACTCGAAGAAGCAGTAGAGAAAGGAGAGTCAGTATCAAGGATAGTCAATCATTAAAAAGTATGAATGATGAATGATGTTGTTGTTGCAAGAATAGGAGTTATTTGCTCAATGGAGTCTCCGAATGATCAAATGGAGATGAATGATGTTGTTGCAGAATTATGAGGAATTAGAGATAAATTTCTTGGTAATTATAGATTCAGATATATGATCAAATTACTGGCAATTTGACTAGCCATGTGTCATGTATCCTTGTGTAACATTTTCAGATGATAAAGAATGCAAAGTAGTAGAACATTTCTATTCTTGACTTGCTTCTTCCTTACTAAAATTCAGAACAGAAAGAATCAACAACTTACTTTTTCCTTTTGTTCCTTTTAGCATGAAGGGCAGGCATCAATTACCATACAGCAATAAAATACAAGAAAACTGCTTTCTGAGCAGCAACGCATTTTGGTCATGTATAGCAAAAATAGATAAGCAGCAGCTACTTTGAATCCGAATAAGCAAGCTTTTTGTAGATATCAACTAAGAATTTCCTTTTCAAACGTTTGAAGGAATTTTCAGAAATAGCATTCATCCCGTAATAGTAGTGAAATATAAGTAACCTTATCAGGATCATTCCTGTACTAGTAGTGATAAATGACAGCAATGTTCTTTCTTTTGTCCACTTAGTCATCGATTTTGAGCAGCAAGTCTCTTTTATGTCAGTCGTTTCCGCTTTAAAAATTTCAACAAAACCAAAATATAATAATTGAGATGAAAGAAGTTTTTGTACAATTATGAGCTTTCAGAACAAGCTTCTTCCAGGATAAGGTCTGCTGTAGAAAAAAATGAAATAACCAGTTTTTTTCTCTATATTTACCAACAACGCAATATCCTAATAATCAAAGACTTATTCCCCCAAGTCAAAAACCAATAACGGGAAAATATTTTTTTGGCCAAAATAAAAAGTAAAATTGAAAACCCAAATTTTTTGGGTAGGGAATAGGGCTTTGATGTTTGGACTATATATGTTACAGATGTCAGGATGATGAGAATGATTAATCTGTGACAATGGGGAGTGTTGATGAGCTAATTTTATTTCAGTAAGAATGTTACTCATTGCAAGTAATATATTGATCATAAGAATCCGGTATCATCTCACATACTTTGGAAATTAATTAAATACCAAATTTAGATGTAATAGTAGAATTTTTTATCATATTTGATATATTTTTTTAAGTTATATCAAATTTATCTTTAATTATTAATTTATTATATCTTTATATGAATTTAAATAAATAAAAATATATTTTATTATATGAAATTCTTTAATTTATGTAAAAAATTAAATTCATTGATCATTAATACTATACAAATTACATTAATCTATCTCAAACTTTCATTCAATTTATATTACATATTATTTGAAGTTATTACATAAAATCTTCTCTTAATCTCAACTATATTCTCCAAATCAATTTAATGATAGTCAATCATTAAAAAATATTAAAAATAATAATATATACTCTACATGAAACGATAAGGTTTGAAAATATAAAAATCACAAAATTTTATATTAAATTGACTAGATTATATCAAAACCTTAAATGACTAAATTAATTCATAATAAAATAAAAGAAAATCAAATATTCTATAATAAATATAAAAATATTTAATATCATAAAATAAAATTTAAAGATAAATAAAATTAATTTAATGATATAAAATTTTAAGTTTTGGTTTTCTATTAATGTTTAGTTCTTCATCTCTTGGTCTCCAAAAACTCCAAATGTGATTTTGAATTGAGTATTTAGCGAGTGTAAAGAACCACTTTATTGGAAAAGACCTAGGACGTATGATAAAGATAGAAACTCTTAAAGCTAAAAGCAGTTAGAGCATTAATACCAGAAGGTACGTGTTGGCACTTCTGTGCGGTTCACCGGGTACCTATTTTCCAAAGGCTTATCGTATGGTGTGACACCACATCGTAGGTCTAGACACCAAACCCATGTCGGGTTTTTGGTTCTTTTAACAATTTCTTCAATGGTAAAAATCCAAATATGGTCCTTCAGCATGTTCATAATGAGAATAACTTTGAATTCATTTATTTAGGTCCCTAAAAGTAACCTTTTTTTTGCAATTCAGCCCCTAAACTTTTAAAAGATATTAATTAAGTCCATAAACTAGTATTATCATGCATTAAAATCCTTTTCTAAAAAAAGGTAAAATCTATTGAAAAACGTATTTATCCATCCAAATAACAAAAAAAAAAAAATCCATTGAAAATGACATTTATCCATCCAAATAGCAACAAAACCAAGGCTAAAATAGGAGATTAAAGCATATAGAATGCATCTCATCTACTAGCAAAGCAAAAACAAGATGGGGATGCCCCACAACCCTAAACAAAACCAATATGATTACACACCATTCATTCATGCGCTGTTCTGATTAATGACTATTCTTTGTTTTGTTGAAAATGCATTGTTGTTTGTCTAAAAGATAGTGGGATCATACTTTTGTTAGAGGTAATCTAGCTAGATACAATTACAATCTTAGTTTGTTAGGTTGCATTTAGTGGAATACTAATTTCTTACATATGAATAATTGAACATAATATTGATTACTTTAATTGCCATTGACTTAACAACTCTTTGAGTTGAGATCCATAAGTTCACAAAAGCTTAAGATCAAATTGTTAGTATTGATTGATTTCTATATTTATATACCAAATTTACTCACAATTTTTTCACCAAAGTAGGATTCAAGACATTAAGTCCCTAACTAAAATTTTCTATCCCAATCAATTTGTCTTATGCCCAGATGAATTATGCAAGAATGTGGTTTAACTGCTAAGTTTTGAGCAGGGTCTAGCTGTAATATTCATGTCAACATTAGATTCTTAGATTTTGCATTCTCATGTATTTTGTGAGTATAATAACTCTGACCCATTACTCTATTTAGATTGGTCTTATAACCCTTATAGCTTTTGTATACCAATGAAATTCTATTTCTTAAAAATAAAAATAAAAGTATTGATAAGCTGAAATTATATACATATTAATGTGAGATTGTGGCCTTGATATTGTTGATATTTGGATGAGTTTTATGAGACTTTACATGGTTTTCATTCTTTGTATAGAAAAAGGCTTGAATGCATAAAAATAGGAGTTTTGGGATTAACTGAACATCTTCTTAAAGTTGAGGGACTGAATTGCAAGGAGAAGGGTGGCTGTTTGAGACCTAAATGAATGAATCCTGAGTTTTGGGATCTAAATGCTCATTGTAAAAAAGATGGAGGACCGGATCTGTCATTTTACCATTGAAAAATTGGAAAAAGGAGGCAAGAAACTCGACACGAGTGTAGTGTCGACACATAATCTGGGTGTCGACACCATGCGTTAATAGTTGAGAGTCAAACTTCCTGTTTCCTGTTTTGTGTTGACACATAATTCAGGGTGTCAGCTCCGTGCGTTCAGCATTCAAAATTCAAGTTTCTCATTTTTTTTCCAAGTCCTACTTTTATCTCAATTAAGATTTCTAAAATCCTATAAATACCCATCCAAATTCAGAATTAAGAGAGTTTTGGGAGGCTGGTGGCAGCCCTTTTTTAAGTATTATTGGAGATTAAGATAGATGTTTCATCAACAATATAATAAAAAATCAAGGAATTTAATTCCTTCAAATTGAGTTTTGTTTTTTTTGAATTTTTATCTATTACTTAATATTTGAATGTTCATAACTATTATTTCAAATTTATTATTTTTATTATGAATTAATTTATTCTACCATGGCTACCATGTAGCCTAATCAATTCAATATAGATTTTGTGATTTTATACTTTCAATTAAAGTTATTTAATGAAGAGTTTATATTATTAAAGTTAATGCATTGGAAGTCTAATCATCTTTCAATTGATTTAGTAATTTATGCATGAATTTGAAAAAGAATTGCGTAAATTAGACCAATAATAATATAAACTGTGTGTTAGGCTATGAGACAAAAAGGTAATTAACTCACATGTGGTAGTGAAAGAAGAGAAGAGAGTTAAGAGCTCTCCCTTCTTAAACTAGAGGTTTCCATAGAATTTAATACTTAATAGTTTGTTTAAAATTACATAGAAATATGATTAATTTAATAAACAAATGAATGATTAGTTTGACTTGAGAAAGTTAGTTAATTAATTTAGAGAAATCCACCATCAGATGCAATAACACTCAACAATTTGATAATCCAAAATTTATATTGATTGATTATAATGAAATCAATGCCTCAATACCTCATATCTTGGTTAGTTTTATTTTAATTGTTAGTTTCTTTTTGTTATTTTAATTAAAATCTCCTTTTTTTATTATTTAAATAAATTTAGATTAATTATTTTAGTACTTAATTAAACATAATCCTCATGAGTTCGAAACACTTTTCTTATCATTATATTACTTGAAGTGACTAATATACTTGCTAGGGTTATCTTAATGCATCAAGTATACTGCTCACGCAACTTTGGTAATGAACAAATGAAATTAGTATAAATTTGATGGGGTATTTTGGGAAAGGGTGGGGAGAGGGCTTGGAGGAGAAGGGGAGTGACATCTAGAGTTACCTCATTCGATGAGGTGAGAA